AATTAATTATCAAAAACTGGACCTTATTGTTAGTTGCATGCATAAATTGAACTTATATTCCATAGTTTCCCAAAAGGGAAAAAAAAGAGAAACTTATACTCTTTAGAATAGCTGCTTAAGCGCAATCATCTAGTTACATATAATTGCACTATCAAGTTTGTGTAGTCATGTTTGATTGATGAATAGGTTTAGTACTTGCAGTTGCACTACTTTAATATTGCTAAATCGATGATCATTAATCTTAATTGTTTTTAGTTCAGGATTAAATTACATTAATCGAAATGGGATATGCACAAGTTTGGTGTATGTTTGTATATCGCTAAAAAGTTTCAACTTATTCAAGTCAATTTGTATTGTCAAATTTCTCTTTTCAATGTTCCATTGGTTTCTCAACTATGAAATTGCATCTCCGAGATGGTTGCAACTTGCAATCTGTAATGTGTTAGAAGTAAATATCTTGCACTCAAATAAACCCTCTAATTTATGGATGCTTAGGACGTATTTTATCTACGAAAATAAGAAAATTTCAAATTAGCCGTCTGCCAATAGCTTTCTTCCTATTTGGTTTGCTAATAAATCAGTTTTGTTTGGGTGATAACTGCTACTGAAATATGAGATGCCATTTTAATTATTCTTGGTGACCAGGTTCAATGCCTTGATTGTCTAATTGTTTAGTTTGGGAATCATGTTGGTTTTCCAAGTTATTACTCAAATAACGATACTTTTCAAATAGCTCTCGACCAATGAAGCAATTGAAAGAATGCACTTCATGAATGCAGTTTTAACAAACAATGCATTAACTAAGTATGACTTTTAGTTTTTGAAAAGAGATTTTAACACACTCACTATTCGGTAAGTCTTTTAAAAAAGCAGCACTCCTTGGAATTTTATTTGAATTTTCAATCCCATATATGAGTCTTGTGCATGCAAGTTAAATTGTTTCAAAAAATTTGGAACTATTTTCTGTAAAATGCAATAAATGTATGGCCTTATTTGGCAAGCAAGTTTTTTGCCAAGTTTGTGTGCTACAAGTTTTTTAACAATTTTAACTACAGTAGCTTCAAATTCAAAAAACTTCTCAAAGTTTTTAAACTATATACTTCAAAATATCTAAAAATTTACACACTTCAAAATTTTTTCCTACAACTTGTACAATAAGTTACAGTAAAGTTTTAGATAAACATCCAAAAAAATTATTTGCAAAACTTCCTACTAACTCTCAAATTTAGTACCTTAGTACACTCTTATTGCTTTACAAGCTTCACCAATCTATGAATACTCTGCTTCATTCTTTATATGCACAAATTCTTTTATAGCTTCCATCTGAGCAACATCATGCATCGCGTGATGCCCCAACAAACTAGTACTACATACATATGAATGCTGTTTTGTACATTGGATTTAAATGTCAAAATTTTTAACAATCGATTTTTTATTTTGTTTGTGGATCTTAAACTCATAATTAGTACGTTGCAACTTGGATATAAATGTCAAAATTTTCAACAATTGATTTCCGATTTTGTTTGTAGATCTTAAACTCATAAGTGATTGTAAGTGTAATTAAGGTCATTTAGCAAAATAATGTATCATGTGTAATTAGCAAATCATATCTTTACATAAATATGCAATTTTATTGGTAAATATGTAATTTGATTTTATTTTGTATTATTCTTTATATACTTATATACTTGATTTGATTAAGTTAAGATTTGATTTGCTTATCTTAACAAGTCATACATTTCTTGTAAGACTCTATTTCCTTCTCGTACTCATTGCAGTTATTGCAGTTGGGTCCGTTATGTGCAACACTTAAATATACAAAAAGTTTTCCCAAATCCTTTTGTAGTAACTGCTTTTTTAACTGTTGAGAAGCATATGCTGCCATATAATATATCATGTGAAAATGAGCAACATGGAGACCCTTCTTACTCTTGTTTGATTTTATTTAGTCCTGCTGACTGAAGTGTAAATGTAAAGTATGCAAGTTAGTGATCGCCACCGGTTTCGGTTTAATGAAGCACCTACCAACATGACTCCCTTTCCCTTGAATTTCTGCATGATACCTTCAACTTCCACAAAAAATTTTTTTTAAAAAAGCAACCGAAAAACCAATACCATCACATTATGATTATAAAAATATATTTTCCGGCAATATATCATGAATTGATGATATGAAGAAATTAAGGCAAAAATCAAATAATAGAATGCAAATATTGAAGCGGCAAGGTCTTTCTTTTATTTTCAAAGTCTCCATACTAGTACTACCTTTTGTTTTTCTTTTGCCTTTTGACTAGAGTAAGGCCTTCCTTTATATCCTAAAGTACTCCATAAGCCCTTTATTTATATTCTAAAATACTCCATATGCTGTTGAGGTCTAGTATATTTTTCAGAAAATTAAGATTCAATAGAAAAAGAAAGTAGAATTGATAAGAAATTAAGAATGGACCCGGAAATAATTGACAGTGAGTTAAGAAAGTGGGCCGAGAAAGGACGCCAACCCCCTCCCTCCTGAAAAAAAACTGCATTCGTCATTAAGTATTCTGCAAGTTTAATGAGTTTCATAGATTATTTAGATATTTTAGTTAAAACATTTTATGGCTTTACTCTAAAACAAAGGTAGGGAAACCTTAAAGGGTTCCTCAATTTATTAGCAACGTTCAAAACATATCATTAAAAGGATCACCTTTGCCAAATTTTTAAAATTGAAGGCTCCAAATCTATATCTATATAAATTTGAGAAAGAGTTTTTAGCAACAAGCCTTCATACACTTTCCCACTCTCAATCCCATTTTTCTAGCATTTCACATTTAATTTATTTCATAAAATATATCATATCCACGTTTGAAACACACGGCTATGTTTCCATCAAATAAGAAGTTGACTCCAACTAACACTTCTCCCTTCACATACCTTCCCACTCCAATTAATACCCCTCTAATTAACAAATTTACTCTGATTAAAACTCCTCCAACCCAATAATAAAAGATAACAACATAATTTTACCAAAAATAGCAATTTACCATCTCTTTCAATTTCCTTTTGTTTTCAATCTCTTTCAACTTCCTTTTGGTATCGATCTTAGCCCTCAACTTAATTGCAAAGGAGGAAACATTTGCAGTCACACCAATGGTAAAAATTATCTCAATCAATTAATTAATGAACAATTATCGACATTTTATTTTGAATTAATAATTGTAATCTATATGTTTTTTGAATGGTTTTAGGTTAAATATTTTCGGATACTTGCTTACATTCAAAGCATTAACATAGACAATATATTCCATGAGTTATGCAAAAATTATGGACAATCATGTCAATCTCATTTTTCAAAAATGGCGTGTATCTATTGTAACGATGCAGTTACATTTTTTCAAAAATGGTGTACATCTCATTTTAATTAAATTTTTTTATTGTATATCACAATTTTTTCTTAACAGATACAATTTTAACATACAAGTTAGAGATTCCAGTGATAAGCTATACCTCACTCTTCAAGATAGATAGGCACGATTCATATTTCGTTGTGATGCTTCTTATTTTAGAGATTTAAAAGGAAAAGTATAAATTATTTATACATATGTATTTTTATACAATATTATTTACAAACTTTTTAAAACAAATGATAATTCTGAATTCTGTATACTCTTAATTGTTAGAAAATGGAGGTACATTATTCGACCAACACATTAATTCATGCAAAAATTGTGTATTCTCATTTATAGTACGAATTCCACAAAATTCAACAAAATTAATTAAACCCCAAATACTAACATTCGTACTTAGTGTAAAAAATGTTTCCACCTTCATAAAAGATTATCAAATCAAAGGCAAAATATTTGTAAGTATTTCATTTACTTATAAAATTAAATATTCAGTTACATTTAATTGAACCCTTATGTCGCTCAATTTATGATATAGATTTTTACTTTTTTTTTTCAGGATCCTACTTCCATCAATGTGGTAGTTTATAAATAATGGGGATATTTTTATCATATATTGAACTATTGCTATAAAATCTCATCTTTTTAACCATACTTTCATGTGCCCTAAATTATACGAACAATTACATAAATTTCTTACTCTTTTTAAATTCCTCCATCGATTATAATTTCTTCGAAAAATATGATCTGTTGTGCATAGCATGGGTGTTTAAACTAGTGTTTGAGAGTTTGAGAGGCATCCAAAATGTAAACTAGGCTTTGAAAATTTAATTAGAAAACTCACAAATCACAATCTTCGAGAATTTACTCCCCGTCTTAAGACAAGTTTGAGAGGCATTCACATGGGCCATCCTCTTAACAAGTTTCCTATACCAACCCAATGCTTAGTAGGCTTTTTCCAAGCCCAACATGATCGTTAGGCTTCCCATCGGTGTCTATATATATATATATATATATATATATCCGTCCTCAATCAAGCACTGCTATCTGTGAAACAGTTACGTCTCGGACAAGTTTGTTCTACACGCCAACACGGGATTCTCAATGCCAATTTTCTAGTGACAATTCAGTACCACTTTTATATCTATGCCAAGTGTCCTGTTTATTTAATTTATTATGTGTTATTTATTTAAATTTCTTCTACCATCATGTGATAAGTGAGATTGACACTGAATTTGACACCGAGTAGTGGTATAGAGGATCCCAACTGTTTTCCAATCAGCTCTTTCTCTTCCCCACGTTACAGTATAAACAATAGATGGTTATACTGTACCGTGGGAACAGAAAGAGCTGATTGGAAAACGTGAGTATGATACAATCAAAAATTTTCTTTATAAACAATAGATGGTCATCCAAAGAGTAGTTCCCCCCCTCCCCCAACACAATTCGAAGCATTAAGGCGACTTTTGGTTTCAATTTTGCATACAGGTCCACAGTTGAAGGAGGCACCTATCCTTCTACTAGTTTTTTGGGTTACTTTCCGAAGATATGGTCTCATATGTTTCACCGTGACATTCCTTTTCCAACTCGAAGAATTCCAAGATCGCTTGATGTTGCTCGATTATCTCTGACTTAGGTAAGGTGCTGAAGGAGGGAGAATGGGGCAATCTTGATGAAACTTTAAGCTTTCTTGATAAACAAACGGTTGACATTGTGGGTTCTTCCAATGGCCTCCTCCTCTGTTTCGCATCCAACCACGTTGATTTTCGCCAAAAGGGGAATATGGATTATATCGTACGCAATCCGGTGACAAGGGAATTCCGCAGCCTTCCAAGACCTCACAAGGCTTACCGCCATGTTGCTGTTGCTTTCATTTGCAAAGGAAGCAATGCAACCCCTTTGGACGGGATCGAGTATGAAGTTATACGAGCAGGAATCCTACAACCTTGGAAGTTGACTCGAACACTGGAGATAGAGACATTTTCTTCTGTTACAAATAGATGGACTGCGGCTTCTTTGGAATCTTCCTCACCCTTTGCTTTACTTGTGGCTAACAGACCTGCAATTGTGGTTGGGGAAGTGATATTCTGGGGTGGAATGTCGAGTACTGTTTTGGCTTATGATTGTGCAATGGAAACCGTACAATTGATTGAACTTCCCCGTATGGCTCTAGAACCTTGCGATTATCTTCTTGGTCAATCTGAGGGACAATTGCAGCATGGCAGATTTGACCTTGATGGATTGGAGATATGGGTGCTGGAAGATTACCGAAGATCTGAGTGGATCCTAAAGCATCGTGTGAGTTTCACAGAAGTAAATCATTTGGCTCGTTCCCCAGGTTGGCTCGCCCCTCTTCGGCTTCATGGTTTTCACCCCAATAAATCTGAGCTGCTCTTTATTACTTGGTCTGGACACCCATTTTGGATTGATTTTATGAATTACACATTGACAGAAACTGGAGGTGGTTTAATCATTGACCAGTATCCATTTCAGTTCTTCCCATATGAGTGGCCCCTTTCGTGCTCTGATGGCCAGTGATTTGATGTCTCTCAGATCGTACCAGTGAATCGGCCTTCTCACCTTACTTCAGTACTTACTACCTGCTTTGGTAATTTGGATGGGGTGGAAGTCCCTGGGATGGCATTTTTGTTTTTGACGGCCTTGCATGATTTCAATGGCTCGAGTCTTGCCTTGATGTTTGCCTCTGCCATTCATAAAGTTTAGTTTATTAGTGCATGGTTTCGGTGGTAAGTTTGCCCTTTGCCAGGTTTTTCATAACTTACTTGGATGCACAGAGGAGGAGTAGATTAGTATTCTATCTTACTTGGAAGAAAAAGAAGAAGCAGAGGAAATTGGTCCAGAAACTGATCAAATCACTTTTATGCTGCCTGCAACAAGAGTATTTTCTACCATTTAGACTAGACTGTTTTATGATTTCATTCTGTGAGGGAGGCCTACCTCATCGAAAATTTTGTTGAGAACTTCTTATGTTACCATGTACTTTTAGGAATTGGCATTAGGTTACTGAAATTTTGTCATTACTCCCTCAATCATTTAAACATTAAAGGAAAGAAATTGGAACCGGAGGCTCCACAATGTTGTCAAATTTGGTGCCCAATTGAGACTTTTGATGTCTTTGGTGGGTCAAAACGAAAAAAATTTTGCTATAAGCTTATAAGTTTTCATGAAATCATCAAATTGTCAGTCGATTTCAAGCTGAATATGTGAGGTGCTCAATATTGCAAAATGCTTTGGACCCTGAAAGGAGACAAGACAAGTAATCCATCCCCCCCCTTCATTTTGATCTGTAAACGAGAAAGACAACACAGAAAGGCCACAAAGCTTAAAAAGAAAGAATTGTTCCAGAGATTGATAAGTCACTGCTATATATGTATATATTGACTTCCACTTCCAAGGGAGTATAGGTGCAATGGCCCAGACAGAAATTAAGAAGTTTATCAAACACATGGGCGGTTTTTAGGCATGGAGGAGTAGCCGCCGCCAACGTCGACCAAGATTCCAATTCTACAATTTAAACTTTCATCATTCATCTTCTGACCATTCACCTGTTAGAGAATTATAACTCTTTCATGATGAGTTCATAGTGGGAATGGAAGTCTGCCTCATTTAGAACCTGTTGAGCACACGATCCCATTATTAAACTGCAAAACCTACATTAAACTCACACATCAAGAAGTTTTTGAGTACAAAATCAAAGGAGGAACATCAAGTTGGCAAGAAAAAAAAATCTTGGCATAGATCACGATTCTTGTGTTATGGGCAGGATTTAATAATTTCCAAGCGTCAAAGATTTTTTTTTTTTTAATCTAAAGAAAGAAAGTTTGATTCTCATTTGCTCCATCCAGCGGTTTCCCTTCGAAAAACTTGAAGCAGAAAAGCACCTTTGATCAGTTGGTCAGGAAATTAGTACTTTTAGCCAGCTCCATGTTTCACTGCTTTTACTTTATCTGAATTTGACCCAAAAAAAATTAATAAAAGATTGGTACTTTAGTTGACAAAAATGCCATGAAGTCACATTACTTTATTATTGCTAGTGTTTACGTAATTAATACGGTCAGCTTTTGTTCATCTGAGCAGTGGCCACTGGTTAAGTGAGAAATCAGAAATTTCCAATAGCACAAGTACCAAAGGAAAACAACGAATGTTTGGCAAGCAGATCCCAATAAAATCATGCATTTGACTAGTTTAGAAATGTCATATTGTCTCATTTTCATTTCTCTGAATCACCACACCATGATCTATACATTCATTCTGTGTCTACATGTTTATAACCTATATATCTGTATATATAACTCAAAACTGAGTTAAAAAAAGGGAAAAAAAAAAAACTTACGGAATTGTTTGGGAAATGTATTAACTAATGACTATATCCTCAAACACACAGCATAGAAAACTTTGCAGGAGTAGAAGAAAGAAAGAAAAACCAAGAAATGAATTATTTCAGTGGCCTATTCCAGGACTTGGTACAGACTGCAAATTCCGTTCAATATGGGCAGGGGCCGCAGCGAAGTGTTTCTCATTGAAAGGATTTGCTGAGTGACCTTTATTACTTGGAGTAGAAGGTGGAACGCAACCCTCGGGAAGGGGAAGGGCCCTCAATGCCAAACTTTCCTCCAGAGCAGATCCCACCTCTTTCTTTTCACTATTTAGGAGCTTCCTTGATTCTGTACGCTGCACCAAACAACATATACAAATAATAACCAAAACTTGCAATCTTGCATGGAGCTTAGCCATGTAGTGCAAGAAAGAGTTGCAAGAAAGCAAAATTTAGCAAGGCTTTGGCTAAGCTGTGAGCAAGAGAAGTAGGGAGTCGGAGTGATGAGATTTCTTGGGAATGGAATGGTTATCCATGGTTTTATATGTGAAGAAACGGGTAGAGGGGTTGAATGAGGAGTCAGTCAAGAGGATTTGAGTTTTTGCCTTTTTGGAGGAGGAATATTTGCTTTGTGTTCTACTATTACGGTGTACTTCCAATTGCCTCGTGGAAGTTGAGTAGGTATGGATGAACTAAGCCGCCGGCCCTGGTTTCTTTGGACTTTTCTGTTTGATTTCGTCCTTTGCCTTCTTTTACGGTTTTACCTTGTGCTATTTGATTTGGTATTGTCCTGTTTTCACTTTTCACTACGGCTGGCCGCTGACCATATATAAAGAATCGTTCCTTGACTTCCTTCCTGTAAACTACTGTACTTTGTATAGTCTATTGTAGCTGGTTCTAATTTGTTTCCACTTTCTATGAAATTTTCAAGTTAATTACATCACCTACGGCTACTACTACTATTTGTCTGCCACCATATGATCTGCTGGCCTGAAGTAAGTTTATAACCATCATATTTAAGGTTTTGCATGTAGCCCTTTTGGATGGACTAACATGCTTGGTCCAGACTTAATTATATTCTTAATTGTAGGTTATCAAGAATTATTAACTTAATTTTATGAATTCATGTACTATACATTGACAGTGTATACACTTTCATTATTAGATGCACGACACATATTCCGAAATTGAATTTAAAACTCAAATTTTGCATGTGTGTCATATATCCAACCGTGATAGTGTATATACATCGTCAATGTATATAAAATTTACTCTAATTTTATGCCAGAGAAGTACGAGTTTGAACGATTGCTCCAAGACAAGAATTTGAATTCTAATTAACTTAATCGTGCTCAAGTTTTTGGCCATAAAGCCTCAACTCCTAATGCGAAACAACCACAGATCACACAACCAAAGAAAAGAACTAAATGTCACCCTGTTGTCGACAAGGGATTTAGGTACACGAGACATTTGAGGAAGACAAAAATAGGTCCGGAGAAAGAAAAGCAACGCTAAAGTGAGAGATAAATGTGGTTGACATTTCAGTGATGATATCAAACGAAGAGACAAATACTACAGTCCATGGTAAACCCTCGTGCTCAGGTTACTTATAGCTGGAAATTTAAAAAGATTGTTCTGGGAATGAAGACATGGTGAGGACTGCAGAACTGAGATTTTACACAACGGAAAAATGTTACAAACTGGATTGACTTCATATAGAGTTCAAAAGGGAGAAATTGATCTTGTAGGAAGAATCTTTTGTCCTAAGCAATTTGAGGTGATTAACCAGCACGTGACAGCTGATTGTCCTCATAGACATCTTAATCAAGATTAGTCAAAGAAAAAGATTTTACTAATCCCCGTGAATTAGTGGAGGCAAAAAGTACCTATAGTCCAAAATTGCATTCTACAAGCCCTTAAAACTGCCGTCCATGAGGCTGAAGCAGTAATCTGACATGTCTTTGAAGTTAACAAGTTAACATATCAATTAAATTAACTCTTCTGCAATCATCTCAGATAAGACAATTTACAACTTTTCTTGCGAATGGTTACGCATTCAGAAATCAGCTTGATTAAATAACTAAATCCAGATTAAAAAAAATGGTTGAATCAGCATTATACAAAAGACACTGGACAAAACATTTTCATTCAACTCCGATAATTGTCGAAAGGAATTTGTCATCCAAAGCTTGTTATTTTTGTACCATTTTGTCTCTGGTTGCCTTCAGATAAAGCCCAAATGGCATTTGGGACATCTGGAGGCTCGAAAGAGCCGGATTTATTATATGTGGAAAGGTAAAACTATTCAAACATCAAAGGAGATTAAAACCCAAAAGAGTGCAAAAGTTGCAGGCAGAGTACGAAGAACAAAACAACTATTGGCTATGTACACTTTCTCTCATGCATAGCCATATTTAGCAATGGAAATTTTCGTAACGGCAATTCTTTTATACTTGTGATATGAAAAATAAAAAACTGCTTATGGATAAGTTAATTTGATGTTTCAATGTTACATTTGCTGGAGAAATCAGATTTTAGTGCTCTTCTAGCAGGGGATCTACAGAGATTAATACATCTTTTCAAAACAATCATTAGCAAGGAAAGAATCTCAAACAATTTACAGAATATCGAAAATCCAAAAACATACTGATTAATTCTAATTACTGACAAATAGAACTTTGGATATACACTTCTGAAGCGCTGGTGTATGTTGCTGTTGCCTTACGATAGACACTCCTGAAACGCCGGTGTATGTTGGGAGACTTCTGCACCCTTCCAAGGCCTCACAAGGCCTACGGCTATGTTGCTGTTGCCTTTATCTGCCAAAAAAACGACTCTGCATCTCGGGATGAGGTTCAATATGAAGTTATACAAGCAAAAGTGCTAAACGCTGCTGCCTCTGGATCGACTACAATCATATCATGTGAAATCCTGTCACAAGAGAATTCCACACCCTTCCAAAGTGTCACAAGGCCTATGGTTATGTTGTTGCTGCCTTTATCTTCAAAGGAAACAACGCAGCATCTCTGGATGAGCTTCAGTATGAAGTTATACGAGCAGAAGTGCTAAGCCCAGCTGCTTCTGGATCGACTACATTGCTGGAGATAGACACATTTAATTCTGTTGCAAACATTTAATCTTGCAGACTAAGCTTGAGTTGTATGCATAAACTAATGCAAGTAAGAAGCAGAACTGGGGAGATAGATTGCTTGGAATATCAGAAAACATTAGAAAAGGGAGAAACTTGAGAAGTTCCTGTCAAGTGAAGAATCCAAATTTGGCAACCTCCAGCATCCTTCTCCTTTGCTGAAATATAAACCAACATAATTATCATCATTCTGGGGATATCAAGAATCGGAAAAATGATATAGCGATTCTCTCATTTCATTTATTGAGCAGAAAAGAAAGTTTCTGGTGTTAGCATTGGCTCAACAATCAAAAAGTCACATGGAAGAAAAAGCATATTCCTGAAACAAGCCTTTTGACTGTTGCAACTCCACAGCTTCTAACATATTATGTTTCTGTGTCCCTACTAATATCTTGTTATTTCTTCTTCATCTTTATTTTCTACTAGATGCAGCATGCATTCACTTTACAGTAATTGGCCATGAAAGTCTTAAATGCTTTACAGAAATTGGCCATGAAAGGCTAGCATGATGGCAAGATTAAGATCATGGAATTTCAATAGAACAGAAATGTATAATTGCAGACAAAGTGGAACACTCACTACACTCTGTATTACACCTCATGCTGTCAGCAATAAAAATACAAACACTGCTAAGGTATGCTGAAAATTTATACAAACATGGAACACTGCAATCTACTGCTTTACTTAATTCCAAGAAACATAACTTTCCTATTTCTCATGTTTGGACTACTAACATCACAAGTAAGAACAAGGGAAATGATATCTTACAAGACATGGGCTGAAAGTTTGAGCAGTCAATAAATCCATTAGAGCTTGATGGTCAATCAGAAATACTGTACACAACCAACTCTAAAGGACTGAAAGAGCATCATCTGTTCCTTTTAACAAAGAATCAATAAACTGGCAGGTGTTTGACAGCCCATCTTTGTTCAACACCACAGATATCACCATGCTCCATGTGGTCATATCAGAAAACTTTCCCTTCACCAAACTACTTAAAACCTTCCACAGCCTATCTGTATCCTCTCCTCGAATTAACCCATCAACTAATTTACATATACTTGAAGAGCGAGGAAGATAACCTTTGAAGACCATCTCATCCAAAATAAGTGCTGCTTCCTTCAATTGCATTCCATCACAAAGGCCATCAAAGAGTTCCCTATAAGTCACCACATCCGGAAAGCACTTCCTTCTCGGCATATCTTCAAATAACTCGTTAGCTTCTTTTAGCTTCCCCGCCATGCAAAGCCCACCAATAATCACATTGTAACTAATTACATCTGGCTTACACCCCTTTGCTTCCATCTCATTTAATATTCCAAATGCAGAATCGAAGTCCTTCTCCATACAGTATCCATGTATCATTGCATTGTATGTTGCTGTGTTCATTGTGCAGTTATTTATTCTCATTTCATCTAACAATCCAAAAACATCCTCCCGACGACCAACCTTGAATAGTGCAGAAATCAAGGTAGCATACACTGTAGAATCCAATTCCACCTTTTTCCTCATCATCTCCTTCTTAAGCTTAATAGCGGAATCAACCACATTACTCTTGCAAAGCCCTTTAAGCAACACAACATACACAAATGCATTAGGCTTCAATTTGAAGTCCCTCTCCATCATTCTCTTCAATCTAAAAGCATCATCTAAGTGTGCATTCGCACAGAACCCATTAATCAAAGTCCCAAATGTCACCACACTCGGCAGAATACCTCTCTTAAGCATTCCATCAAACAAATTCAACGCATTACCCAAATCCCCTTGCCTGCAGCAAGCTTTAATGAGTATACCATACGTACAAGCATCCGGGCAAGCGCACTTCTCAACACCCACAAAAACTTCCCTCATTTTCTCAAATTCCCTGCAAATTGACAGACTATTTAACAAAGAATTCACTGAGTTGATTGTTCTTTGGCAACGAAAAGATGGAATTTCATCAAACATCTGGAGGGCTTTTTGGGGCAAACGAGCTCTGCCGTAAAATGTAATAATGTTACAAAAAATTATCTCTTTCGGGATTATTCTAGTGTCCTGTCTTAATTTCTGGATTATTTGTTCTAATTCATCAAACATTTTGGCTCTACCCAACTTTGAGATAATGAGATCGTAGGACAGAGGAGAGTAGCGGAAGGGCTTGGAGCTTGGGTTAGGATCATTTGGGTTGGGGTTGAGGAAGAGTTGGAAGGCAAGTTTAGGGTCTTTTTGCAGGCGAAGGAGAGAAGAAAGTCTGAAAGGAGAGATTTTATTGAGTTTTTCCATTTAAACGCAACGGCTACGGAAGTTGGCAAATAAATGGGAGTTTGGTTCCCGCCTGAAGATGATGGATCAAAAGGCATTTCTAAGGCCACTATTTGGGCCGGAGCGGAAAATACTGGCCCATGGATTTTGTTTCTTAAATTTTTTTCGGGGTGGGATTTGGGCCATGTTACTCCATTAATTTTCTGTATTATCAGCTAAATCGAGAATAAAGAAAAATCCAGTGAAATTGTGTATCGTCAAATGACAATTTGAAACTTTTATTTGACATTTTGATGTAGAGATCCCAAAAATTATGAATATCAAGGAGCTAAGCCAATTGTATAAGCAAAATAAACTGTGTAGATGCTTTCTCTTAACACAAATTGCTTTTTGTCGTAGAAAAGATTTCAACACAGATAAAAGCTAATGTGGGGGGTTTTTTTTTTTTTTCTTGGATACGACAATTAGGTATAGATTATGATTTTCGTCATAGGAAACTTTCAATATTAATTACTAAAATAGCTTTATCTCAATTAAGACCTGATTTTTGTAATTGGTCCATCCAAAATTACTTTCTCGTAAATCAAAATTTGTACCCGGCCACTTGAATAATACGTGAGATTCCCTAGAAAAATATTTGAGATGTTAGAGTTGGAAAGGAATTGGATCAATCAATGAAGCTCAAAGAATCAAAAAAAAAAAAAAATAAAGGCCATGAACAGCTGGTTGAAAAAGAATGAAGTCACAAATCAAAATGAGATGATAAAAATGGTTCAACCAGGAAAAATTAATTATTACCGGTCTAATTCTCGAAGAGCCCGGAATAACAAGTACAAGAATTCAAAGCAAAATGTTGGCATTAAAAACTTAAAGGTGACAAGATCTGCATGGAAAAGGAATCGAAGGGCGAAGGGTGTAGTTCAAGGTAAAACCGACAGAGGAAAAGTTAATTAGGAGTAGCTTTCAATTTTAAATGAAGCCTGCGTTTTGCAGTAATTCTAAAGTCAAGAAAAGCAGATCTATTTGACTGCTGCTTTAGCAGCACGACCTTCAGACAGAAATTCTCTCTGTTATCTGAGACAGTGGCTGCTGCTGAATTGTCGTTGTTTTACTATTCAAATTTTGCCAAGGTCAGTGAAAGTGCACTAGACTGTCACCCAAAAAAAAAAGAAAAGTGAATTAGACCAACAATAGTTAGTCATTTTTCCTTAATAAAAAATAAAGGTATTAGAGATATACCTGTAATTTCACTATATATTCAAGTCGACTCTCGAACTAATAAATTAAATTTTTCTTTGTTTAAGTTGATTTGAGTTCGATAGTTCCACTAGATTGATTCGATTTCGAGTCGAGTTTTGACTGAGTCGGCTCGTGAACATTCGTGAGTGACTTGATTCGTTTGCAATCCTATTAATTCTTGTAGCATGTTCTTGTTATACCAGTGTACATTGATTTCTAGTGATAACGAGACTGCAATGCACATTGTTATGTACTGATTAACATTAATCTATAGCTTATATAAAATGTTAAAAAAGACACGAAAATGTTCTTGGCATTTGGATCAGAAATTTGAGTGTGTTTCATGCGGTGAGCTCTAGTGATAACGAGACTGCAGTTCTCGCTTTGGTCTATTAAATATTTCTAGTGCACCCTGTACTTATCAATGTACATCAATTTCACACGAAAATCATAATTCATATGTGACATGTTCGTCTTTGGTTCATTCACTTCCCTTGCCACGAAACAAAAAAAAAGAAATTAATGTTTAAAAACCCCAAAAGCAGATGGGAATTACAACCATCCAATCGGTTTAGAATTGATGCGATTCACAAATAATGAAACTAAGCAGCAAAGGAAAAGTGTTGCCAGATGAGATTTAGACAGCTTATGTTGTAATTAACTAGCCCATATGATCAATGTGGATGTGATTATGGATAAAGAGATCATCGAACGGAGTGCTTCTCATTCATGCATCATTGCAGTTCACTTGTTCAATAAGGAGGTGAGCAACACAGCACATTGTTCAATGTCGGAAAACTTTTGTTAATTCTGAAAGAAGGCACAGGTTGTACAAGTTACAGATCTCAAAAACTCTTTTCCCACCTCCAACTTCTTGATGATTGGCTGGAAGTGGAACCAGATTTCTGCATTCGCTGAAGGTTCGATACCAGCATCAGGTGAAGAAACATTGATCAGCTCTCCTAAAAATAACTCATCATGTTGCTAGATATCCAGAATGTATATAATTCAAGAACGCCAAATAGCCTGCAAAAGCAACAAGAAATCTACCTCACTGATTAATCACGGCTGGACTTCCCTTCAGTAATAACTAGCAATGCAAGCGTATATATCTGACTTTCCTAAGCAATGGAAAAATCATAACTGCACGGGATATACCTTGAAACAAGCACTAATGCAGTTTCTGAACCAACGTGCCATCGGGGCTTTCTTCAGTTTCTTTAACTTTCCCAGCGATTCAATCTTGGAGAAGTGATTGTTGTAGGGTGGAGAAGATAAAAAGAAGGCCCTTGTGGGAATCAATGGAGACCATAAACCACTCTGCTCATAATCAAAGTCGAATTCTGAAGCATCAAAGTACTTCCCCAAAAGCCTGTCTGATAAGCTTTTGGAAACCATTTGGATGTAGACTTCTGAGCTACCACCATCCGGGAAGAAAGTGTGTGCCAATTCCTGGGGCGAGTCTAATGAGGATGATGATGATGGCTCTGCAGAATTGGCCATAAAGTTGATATAATCTGATGTGGAGAAACGATGGTAGGACGGAAATGGTCTCTAGGATTCAGAGAAAGGTTTTTGAAAAGAGAAAATGCAAATCATGGGAATAATGAGTGTTACGGGTGGGGCGTTTGTAATTCAGAACTTTGAGTGGTTGAAAACATATTGCTTTTCAAGTTGCTGATAAACTTTCATGGACTTCAGGGCAAGATACCTTTTTTCTTTGGGTTGGGATGATATCCTTGGGGCTAATGCCTAATGTTCATGTGGGTAGAACCTTTTGATATATGCAAAAGAAATTGGTTTGCATTTCAAATAAAAGTTTGCTTATTAACTTCTGAAGAATTTTAACCATAAATTGCTGGATACTCTACAATTATACCTCTTAAAGCCCAAATCTCTTTTCTGCCCGCGCATGAATATTGGAATGTACAACTTTTATTGGACATTCACATTATTAGTCGTGTATTTCACGTTTTTTCCAGAGAAAATTTGATAATACTGCTAAAATGTATCACAAATCTAAAATTAACCGATAACCTATACATAATTGCAAAAGCAAAACGAGATTACTGATAAATGCATTTATACAACAATATATACATTCGTCAAATTGATGGAAAATGGTGGTTTTAGAATATAGAAATCCGTTATTTTTTTTCCTTTTTTTGGGAGGCCTATGCAACATTTGGGAGTCTCATTGGCAAATCTTGAAAATAGTTATTATAACACTTTTTTATGAAGTGATGTATGTGACATAAAAAGGTGATTGAAAATAGGGATAATTGCAGAAACCTCCCTTGAGGTTTCTAATATTTGCACTGACCTCCCCTGTGATTTGAAAAATTTTACTAACCTCCCTTGAGGTTACTAATCCTTTACAAATTCAGTCCAAACGATTAAAATATTATATTTAGGGAGTGAAATTATAATTTTTTACCAAATTTGTCCTTTGTACTACATGTCCAATGAATGACAAAGTACTACAAATCAATTAACAATTAATAAACTTTAAGAAGTATAGTTTATAGGCAAATACACATTACCTATTTAAAGTACCAGCTGTTTATGAGTATTTTACTTTTAAACATTTAATTTAATACAAATATTTACGCTCAAATACAGATTTATATTTACTTTCAAATATTTAATTTTTGTTAAATACAAAAACTACCAATCTCTCTTCCGTAAAAATATTAATATAACACTTTTTCAATTTTAGTTACAAACATTTATGTATTTAACATAAATTAAATGATTCGGAATAAAATGCCCATAAAGAGCCAATACTTTACTTATATAATAGATGAAAGCCATAAAGAATTAATACTTTATGGGCCATTTCTTTTTTTTTCATATTTAATTTATATTAAATAAATAACTTACCGATTTGCTTTTTGCAAGAATATTACTATAATACTTTTTGAATTTTACTTACAAATATTGATATATTTGTCATAAATTAAATGTTTGAAAGTAAAATACCCGTAAAAAACCGGTACTTTAAATGAGTAATGCGTGTTTGCTCATAAAGAGTCGGTAACTATTTAAAGTATTGGTTCTTTATAGGTATTTTACTTTCAAACATTTAATATAATACAAATATTTAGGCTCAAATACAGATTTGTATTTACTTTCAAATATTTAATTTTTGTTAAATACAAAACCTACCAATCTCTCTTCCGTAAAAATATTAATATAACACTTTTTCAATTTTAGTTACAAACATTATGTATTTAACATAAATAAAATGAATAAAATGCACATAAAGAGCGAATACTTTACTCATGTAATGGATGAAAGCCATAAAAATTAATACTTTACGAGTCATTTCTTTTTTTAAAACAATATTTAATTTTTATTAAATAAATAACCTACCGATTTTATTTTTGCAAGAATATTACTGTAACACTTTTTGAATTTTACTTACAAATATTGATATATTTATCAGAAATTAAATGTTTGAAAGTAAAATACCTGTAAAGTGCCGGTATTTTAAATGAGTAATGCGTGTTTACCCATAAATTATACTCCTTAAAGTTTATTAATTGTTAATTGATTTATAGTACTTTATCATTCATTGGACATGTAGCACAAAGGGCAAATATGGTACAAAATTCTAATTTCACTCCCTAAAATAATATTTTAATCGTTTGGACTAAATTTGCAAAGGATTAGAAACCTCAGGGGAGGTCAGTGTAATTTTTCAAACCACAAAAGAGGTTAGTGCAAATGTCAGAAAGCTCAGGGGAGGTTTCTGCAATTATTCCTTAAAAATATAAAAAAGTAAATTAAAAAATATATTTACGATGCAATCAAAAAATTTGTTGAAAAAATTTTGCTATCGAAACATATCCAAGAGCTTCACCTTTGATCCAAAGTTTAGGCCCAAAGTAACCCAAAAGCTAGCCCATTTTGCGCCGTCATATCCATCCTCATCAGCAGAAACGACTGTCAATCAAAACCAACCTCCCGCTCTTTTAACTCTCACCGCTTCAACCCCTAATCACTTCATTCAATTTCAAAACCTCAAAATCCCAAATTCAATTGGTTTCCACAAATTATTTAAAATCTTTGCTGGATAAAATGAAGGAAGAAGAAATTGAGAAGCTGAGGGGAGTAGTTCGGGACTGCGTCAGCAAGCATTTGTACTCATCGGCGATCTTTTTCGCCGATAAAGTAGCTGCCTTTACCGCCGACCCCGCCGACATTTATATGCAGGCTCAGGCCCTTTACCTCGGTCGCCATTATCGACGTGCTTTTCATCTCCTCAACGCCTCTCAAATCGTCCTCCGTGACCTCCGCTTCCGATACCTCGCCGCCAAATGCCTCGTGAGTTATTCCTTTCCGTCCTCCCCCGCCAATAGTATGATTCTTTTCTGCTGCTAAATAGGTTCTTATGAATTGGTTTTTGGGATTTTCTGATAATTAGGATTTTTCTTAAAAATCATTTCAGGGTAGCGAAATTATCCATTTTTTAAGCTTTTTGTAATGGAGAATTTCAGATGTATCGTCTGATAAGTAGAGATTTTGAGCTCGCTGTTGATTCACACATGCCTTAATTTACGCTGAGAGCTGAGTGGGGTTGCGAAATGTTAGATAGTATTACTTAGCGAGCAAATGATTATCATGCTATAGAAATGAAAGGATAATCTATTTTTTCTACAGAATGTGATTCTTGGTGGATCTATGCCAGCTTTTGATGAGCTTTGATCTTTCTATACTAAGGGTTGGGAGTTTTTGGTTTGTAAATCAATTGCACCCACGTATGTAGTGGGTTATTGCAGCTTCTGTATGGATTTAGAATTTTAGATAGATCAAAGCAGCTCAGCTGTAGTATTTGAAGTTCAAAACAAAAAAAAATCACCTGATAGGTAGAAAGAACAGCATATCTGAAGTCATTTTGTCCTGCAGAACATGAATAATTGAAGTTTAATGAGATTTAGAAAGTTTTAACAAATCAGCAATCTGTGTAGTCGTTTTGTTGATAGCAACTGAATTGCTTAGTACAGTATTGCCTTAGGCCCAGTTGTTATCAAAGATCGAATATGTAGAACTGGCAAGCAGTTAAAGGCCAACAACTGATTCATATTTCAACATTGTGTTACAGCCTTTTGTTTGTCCAGGATTATTATATGCAGGATCCTCGGGAATTTATTTATTTTTCTAATTTTAGATTCTTGTTGGAATTTCTTTCAATCATATTTGATCAGGAAGAACTGAAAGAGTGGGACCAGTGCCTCCTGATGCTTGGCGATGCCAAAGTTGATGAGCATGGAAATATTACAGACACAAGAGATCTCAACATTATGTATTTGGACAAGGATGGAGAAGATCGGGAAATCAATGTAAGTTGTCCACTCCAATAAAACATGTAAAAAAAAATTCCTACCAAATCTTCCAGGAGGGAGTGTGAATCTTTTTAAGTTATCCCTCACTGTTTCCTGCTACTTTTAATCCGTAAATGAAACTTGATATAAAAAGAAACCTCTATTGGTATGTGCTCAATATATTTACAGAACTTACATATGGTGGCAGATTTTAGCAGCAATTTGCTTTTTAAGAGGTAAAGCATATGAAGCATTGGAAAATCGTGCACAGGCTCGCTTGTGGTGAGTTAGTATTCATGTCATAGTTGTTACACTATTTTTGACTGCTGCATTTGTATTGAGAGTGTAGCTTTCATTAATGTCTTATGTTAATTTAGATTTTTGGTTTGAGAATGGTACGATGTTTTACATGTATAACTTCTGCCTTCCCATTTCCTTTCACGCATCTTGTTGTTCCCTTTCCTGGTATTTCCACTCCCACTCTCTTGAGTTTATTTAACTATTGGTACTCTGTGGGTCAATCACATTGTTGTACTCTGGTGTTGATGTTTAAAGGTACAAAGCAGCTATCAAGGCTGATCCTCTGTGCTACGAGGTAAGACTGATTTTTTTTTTCGACATTTGATCTAGTTATTCTTGTCAATATTATCTGAAATTTTTCCTTGAGGATGTCAAAAATGATCTTAAGCTCCTTTAGTGGGCCTTTGGAGTAATAGGAAGCTGGGATCCTAAAATTCGATCAGTTTTCATGGTTGTTGATTGTCTTGGAACCTTGTAGACTGCGATATGGCTACAAGTGTCAGATAATAAACAACTAAAACTTTGTAGCTCTGAGGTCCTTAATGCGTGCTTGTCAAAGATGAAGACACGGGAGGATACTAAGGAGAGGGTTTGCTAGTATGTGTTTTACAATGGGTGATACATTTGATTTTGAACCTTATCAAGGATTGAATTGTAACATTTCCAAGTGGTAGATTTACTATAGAGCAGTTTCCCCATTAATCTGACTAGGTCATGCCTCCTCCTCGTCTTTATGTATCTCCTTTTACTCTCATCCGTCTCTCCTCACTCAGGTTTTTCTGCATTCAGGCATTGGAATGTCTTACAGAAAATCATATGCTCACTTGTGAGGAAGGTGAGAAGTGATGGAACTTTTCATGCTTTTCAGGGACCAAAAGAATTTCAAGCATTTGTTGTCTATCTTGTGATATTTTTGTTGAATATTTGGTTGATTTACTGTGGAATCTCTTCTTCTGTGTCTAAATCCTCTGGATTTCCTGGTTGCGATAAAAATAAACAATGATATTTTTTCATGTTAAATTGCAGAGACAAGATTACTGTCATCACTGAATTGTGGTTCTGTAGATGGCTGGCTTTCTTCATTCTACACATGTTTGATGAAGAAGGTAATAATGTCCCAGTGGACAGGATTATATTGATGCGGTGGTTGCTTCTTCATATTCATTTTTATCAAGCTACGAACTTTTTTATGTCTTCTACTTGTTCTAGATGCATGTATCTTCCTAGTGTCCTCTTTTGTGAATTAAACATATTTTCCTTTTCATGTTATTGTCCAGTATGATAAGAAAAACGTAATAGAAACCAAATTTAGAGAACTAGAACAGGAAGACGCTGATGCAAACTCCTCAGAGAAAACCTTCTTGTGTACACTGAGAAACAATACCGACCTTTTGGCCTGTAAAGCTGAGTACTACCATCAGTGTGGTGAATACCAGAAGTGCTTCCAGCTTACCTCAGTGTAAGCTTGCATTTTTGTTGAAAACAGAATTGTTCAAACTCTTTACAACCGAACTGCTGGATTGAGACTTTGTTTTGTTCCATATGATGTAAACCAGATTGCTTGAAAAGGACCCTTTCCACATGAAGTGTACACAAATACACTTAGCAGCAGCTATGGAGCTTGGGCATTCAAATGAGCTATATCTTATGGCATGCAATTTAGTCAAGGACTATCCTCAGAAGTGAGAATTCAGAACTTCTTTCATTTGTTTGAAAACCTTGTTATCTGAATTTCCTGTGAAATGGAAGACTTAAGACTAACGTTTAATATATCTCCTTTGTAATCTGTGATTTGAATTTGGTCTATTCTGCTAGTGGACAACTGAGAATAGAACGGATAAATGATTGATGCATCATTGAATCTTCCGACTTTAGCACATACTTAGGCATTTATGCTTCGAATAGAAGAGCATTCAGAGAGTTATAAAATGTTTGAAGATCTCAGTTTTCTTAGGGTCTCATGCCCACCTCCCTGGATAAATAAAAGCACATATTCATGATTTATACTTAACGATGATAGGTGCTAAATCATTCTCATATATTTTGAGGTACCAACTTTTTTGATTGTGACTGAATGAAGTGCATATTGCTGTTTGTGTGTCAAGGAGAGTATTTTTGAGAATTCTTTCCTGTGGTTCATTTTCTGAATTTGATCTATTCATCATAGACGGAATGGAACATTTTTCTAATTTGAATCTGATATAATTAGGTAGAGGCTAAGTATATGAATAATGGCAGCAATCAGCATTTTGATGGCTTGTAATTATCTTCTCTTCAGAGAAATTATTTTTCTCTTTTTTGTATTTGAGACAACTGGTTGAAAATCATTGTATGAACCTTTTTGTCTTCCTTTGATGTTCATTTCCACTTCATCTTTACAGCTGATTGACTAATTTGGATACCTCTCTGTAGGGCCCTGTCATGGTTTGCTGTAGGTTGCTACTACTATTGCATCAAGAAGTTTGATCAGTCACGTCGCTATTTCAGGTACAGACTAGTGGTAGTAGAAGACTCAGGTTGTGGTTCTTATTATTATTATTTTTTTAAAGTAACTGATGTATGCTATAGAGGGTAGTGTTCAGTGGTTTCAGTGTATAATGGATGAATACTTGGAATAGATTCTACTGCATAACATATCTCCTGGAATATTATACAAGTAACTCTACTATTGAATAAGCTTGGTATGTCACTGTTTAAACCCATGAGGCGCCTTGGTATGCCACTGTTTAAACTGATGTGGCAGGAGTTGCTCAACATCCTTAACTTGTAAGACTAACAGTCTACTTTGTTCTTCCTCTTCTTTCTTTCTTTATCTTTTTATTTTTTAAGTAGAAGAGAAACTAGTTGGCTGCAACTGAAGCTGCCCAAACCATTTATTTGCTTAGCTTATGCAGCAGATCAAATTGGCTGCAGTGTATGAATTTTTGTTTGATTCCTATTTAGTTCTGTCATTTTTGCAGCAAGGCAACAAGTTTAGATGGGTCTTTTGCCCCTGCTTGGATAGGTTATGGGAATGCTTATGCTGCTCAAGAAGAAGGAGATCAAGCAATGTCTGCTTATCGCACTGCTGCACGTTTATTTCCTGGGTAAATCTCTCTTTCTTAAGTTCAATATGAACTGTCTGCCAAATTTTTGTGATCTGTATGTTAACTGAATTTTTTTGCCAGATCATTTGGAGGAGTTTTTTTCAATGTGGAGTCTATATTAGCTGAACCTGTTTGCAGCACAATTCATTTTTAAAAGTTATTTTGATGTTGAGTCTTTTCTTAGAGGAGCTAATCTTCTCTAATTACTCCCAAGAGTAGCTTCTGTCAGTCATTTCAATTTTCACAAGCTTTATTGGTTGTTCCACAGAGTTGTATGAAAATGATTCAGTAGTTACAAGTGCACTTCACATTTTTGACACTGATGAAAATACTTTGAAGCTGTGCATTATGAGGGCCCTCTTATTACTTATGGAGTATTAATTGTCTTTTACAGGTTGAATGTTGATATTCTCTTATTCCAGGTGCCATCTGCCTACTATGTATATTGGGATGGAATACATGCGAACTCACAGTTTCAAACTGGCTGAGCAGGTGATCACGAGTTCTGCTGAGTTGGAGAGTGTGTATCACATCTCTTTGCCGATTTTGCAATTTTTTTAAGGGAAAAGACAAACCCAACTTCAATGTTTTGGCAGGCAATCTTTATATTCGGTATTCTGATAGGATTTTGTTTTCAGTTTTTTATGCAGGCTAGGGCAATATGGCCTTCAGATCCACTTGTCTACAATGAACTTGGAGTTGTTGCCTATAATATGAAGGAGTAAGAAGCAATTCCCTGAAAAATTGTTTTTCCGCTAATGAGTATTTTTGCTGTAGTACCTCTTTCCCTCTTGATGGTTGTAGTTCGTTGCACTTTTTATAAAATTGTTAGCCTGTTTGTTTATTACTAGTCACAGTATTAGGATATAGAACATTAGCTACTGAAAAGCAATATAGTTTGTCTAGGTTTTTTAAGCATGGTGATTTGGTCACTGCTACACATTTCAGTTGGTTTTAGACTATCTGGCCTAAAATTTGATACTGGAATCTCCCTGAACAGATTAATACAGTTTAATTTGGTACAATCATCTTAGTTTTAGCACATTTGCTAATTGCGAAATTCGAGGATGAAAGGGAAGATGAGGATCCCCAAGCTAGGTGGAGTTTAGATACAACAGTGTGATGATAGTAAAAATTGATAATATTTTGGGAAAAGAATAACTAGCAAGATATCCAATTTCATATTAAGGGAATTATTTAGCTTCTTTACATCCATTTAACTTGGACCTAAAATATTCGGTACGTCCTGGTTTATAAATTTCTTTGACTTGTCAATTTGTTAATCATATCTTTGAATCTTACTAAGTCTCTACTTACTTTCTCATCCCATTGTCCTTCAGGTACGACAAGGCTGTGTGGTGGTTTGAGAGGACATTAGGTCTCATTGCATCCACTTTAAGTGAGACATGGGAACCAACCGTTGTCAATCTTGCTCATGCACTAAGAAAACTAAAGTATGTCTATTTTATTTTGAGTTTATAGGTGCATCTTTGAGTACTCTTAGAAATAAAATATATTTTATTGAAGACTGAACGAAAAGCAAAAGCCTTGTTTAAACTAACTAATGTAACCTATTCCGTATCAGGAGGTACAATGAAGCAGTAACATACTATGAAAAAGCTCTTGCGTTGTCAACAAGAAGTTTGAGTACGTATGCTGGTCTTGCATACACTTACCACCTGCAGGTAATTAACTTCGCTGAGGTTTGCTTTGCCTCCTGTTGTATCTATGGAACAAGCATGTTTTAAATATTTCGCTGATAATGCAATCTTTCTGCAGAACAACTTTACTGCTGCAATTGCCTATTATCACAAGGTATACTATTTTTGCTCTAGCCCTTGCTTGCAAGAACCATTAGAATGACAATCAAAACATGACTATATTTCCCTGAATTTTACAAACGCATTGTTCTTTAGTCATAATAAAATCCATGGAGAGGCCACTGAAAAGATGGTGTCGACCATTTTGATTATTCTGTTTCCCTGGTTCTCATTCAGTCTCACCTCCCCACTTTCTCAAACAGGCGTTAAGGCTAAAACCAGACGACCAATTCTGCACAGAAATGTTGACCCTGGCCCTTGTTGACGAAAGCCACCTTGGTACAAGCAACAATTCTGATTTTCACCGCAGCGAGCTGCTCTTTTAGGAATAGGGATATTTTTTTTCTGCTGTAGTTTGTATGTAGTTGTCAATCTCATTGGTAACACCCTATTTGAGTAGGTCAACACTCAAGTAATTCTGTGTTGTTGTACCGAATTAGATGTAGTATACTTTCTTTTTTTTTTTCCCCCATTTTTCCCTCTCTAAGCGTTCAACTGTACTTCTATAATTTCACTTAAAAATCTTTCGTAGAATTTGTTTCTTGCCTAATCTCAACAGTCTGAATTCTTTTGATATCTACGGAGCTGAAGTAAGACGTCTTCAATCAGCAGTTTCTACAGACCGTAGGGTTAAGCTTTTCTACCTTCACCTCCAGGAACATGCCACGGGAACTTCAAGGGCCAAATTTCGATTCTACAGACGTAGTTTCTGGTGGAGTGAACACTTTCTATTATACTGCAGGTGGCTGTCAAAACGACAGAGTTGATTTGTATTCGGCTTTTATAAGCATCCATGCTTATGATGAGATATTTTTAGAGCTTCGATATTTTTAGAGCTTCAATTAGCGTTCGATTTCGTATTAAAGCAGCGTAGCAATAATGACAAAAGTTGAATAAATCACAGCAGTCTTGATGAACAACACGGATGGCCCTTCCTTCCAAGTAAATCAAAAGATGCACTGACGGTCCTTTTTTTTTTTTCTTGAAATTTATGGGAAAAAGGAAATTGTTGGACTTCTGCCTTTGGTCCAGAAAGGATGCTAATTGTGAAAAGGACAGCCATGGCCTGAAGACGCTGAGATGTTGGCGGAGTCAGAGACATCCGATCGCTTAAGCAACCCGGCGAATAGCTCCGCAGGATCATAGTAAACTTCCACGTCTTCTGCCCTCAATGATTCATCAACCTGCCATAAATATTCAAAGAAAAATACCAAATCAATTGTTGATATTACATCACTACTTTTTTCACTAATTAAGTTCGTGCAATATTAATTGCATGGAGACAATCTATTTTTGTCCAGTTGTGGCTGTTATTGGCAAAACAAACGGAAAAATGATGTGGGAGGGGGTACCGCGCGAGGCGCTTTGCTTACCTTCATGACTGCGAGGCCGTAGAACTGGACCATCTCCCCAGTAGGGGCATGGCCTTTGAAAGGTCCTTCAAAGTAGCCCCAGTGCCTGAATTTGAAGGTGACCACTGGGGGTCCGGAATAAACACTGATTACTTCCCATGCAAATCCACGAGGAAAGGCTGAGCGGAATGCATCATGAGAAGATTCAAAGCTCTCTTCTTCTGCTTTGTAGTACTTGAATTCCTCTGGCATTGAACTCTTTAACAACGCATTGTAGCTCCCCAGCTTTAGTGTTTCTTCCCCTGATAATCCCTCTTTTCCTGCCCTCCCAAACCAAATTATTAGCCCATATGATAATACCACTACTTTTCATGTTGCAGTAAAAAACTCAGGATTATTTAGATTGTACAGGGATTTTAATCCTGAACGCCTAAGGTTAGGTTGTAACTTGTAAGTAAGATTCTCGACAATTAGCCTTTAACAAATGATAATAGAAAATACTAATTAGTTTGATCAACTTCATATTAGAGATTGGTGGGATATTAGCTGTAACGCTTATAACCTATTCTATTCTACTCTAAAGAAAAGAAGGTTCCTACTCAGATATGAGGAGTTGAGTTAAAAAGGAAAGATCCATCCAAACCAAAGAGGTGTACTATATATTCTTTGGATTTTTTTTTTTTGAATATCCAAATAGACAAGAAAGTAGCCTTTGGTGTTTAAGACGTGGTTAAATCACATAATCAACAATCCCTTGGTTTTTTAAGTCCCCCATTCAAGAAAAGACTGGATACAAAAACACGAGAACATGTGTGCTGCGTGGAAAACATTAGCTGATCGACATCTCGCATGATTCATGATGGTGATAAATGACTACTGAAACATATAGCATCCAGATGAGGGGAAAAAAGAAATCATCGAGGGTTGCCTTAGAGTTGTTTATGTGATAATTTGTCCTACCATTGACGATAAGCTTGAATTTCTCAGGATTTATGGTCCTGAAATCTTGTATACGAGTCTTGTGAGACAGCTCCATCTCCCATGACTTTACAGCATTTTGAACTACCTCTTCTAGGGACCCTTTTGGCCATTCCTGCAAACCATGTTGATAAACATGTAAACGTTGGAGCAGGGTTTACTCATTTTGATACCAGCAGATTAATACATGAAAGAGAAAAGCGGGGTTTGAAAAAGATGAGAAATTCCAAGCACCTTAGTTCGGCCTTCTTCAAAAACCTTGTTGACAGAATCGTAAATTGGAGGGCCACCATGTCTCCACTCAAAGTTTTGTCCTTCTTCGTGTAGGAAAGACCTATACTTATCAGCTGCAACTGCTTTGTCGGTGGCCATGGGAAGAAGTTCTTGCAGCACAGATTTTACTATATGCCTGTAGTTATAGGACTACTTCACAGAATTCATATAAAATGGCACGGTGAGGTTTGGTATAAATACTATTAAATAGGCAATTAGTTGAGGAGGTTGCTTTGATGACTTTCCTTCTTATTCTTGTTCTTACCGCAATTAGTTAGTCACGTACTAAACTGCAAATTAATTAACTGTAATGCAGGTTTTAAACGAGGGCCGTTTACTTTCTTGGAACTGGCTTACCAATGGTGTAAATTAAAAAGGTCGCAAGAACTGATGTAGTGATCATATATTGTTAACCTCGAGAGGAATCATGAATTCGATATAATCAGTTATAGTAATTGTTTTCCATGAATAACGATAGCAAGATAGCCAAAAAAAAAAAAAAGTTTACTTCGGGTGCTGAGTTTTAGCATATTTTGGGGTAATTCTACCGCAGGTTGTGTTCACTGTTCAACTAGCCGTACACCGACTTCTTCTGCAATTGAATGTACGACACCAGCAAAAACAAGATATAGAAATTACATTCTGTCTTTGTGTAGAATACAGTAAATAACTACACACCAAAATGCGGCAGTTATCAAGTCAATGTCATGGAAGGCTTTTGAGAAGATTGAAACAAATTAAATTAGCAGACATGCATTACAGATAAATCAATGTGTATAGAACATTATTATGAATGAATATGAGCAGAAGCAGATACCGTCCATTCGTTAGTAATTTCGGAAAATATTTGCGGGTTTTCCTACAAATTCTTTATTTGTTTATTCCCATTCCTAGAAATGCTGGTTCGAAGGATAATAAGATTGCCAAAAATTAGGTTGTCTTTGGATTGGCAGATTGAACGAAGAATTTAAAATCTTTTCTACTTTGTCTAAGTTATCTGTATCTATATAAATTACACAGGAGGGATTCCGATTAGGAACCATTCTAGACCTCCAAACTCTTAATTCTTTTTTTTTTTAAATATAAATTTTCTATTTATTTTATTCGTAAAATGTAATGAGTTAGTTTCAAAATCCTGATTGTAGACTATATTCTCATCATTTCAAAACTTAAATTATTTCCAAACTCTCAATTCCTTTTTTGTAGATTTTTAAATTTATTTTAATTCCTAAAATGTAATGAGTTGATTTCAAAATCTTGATTGTAGATATATTCTCATCATTTCAAAAATTTGAATTATTTCCAAACTCTCAATTCCTTTTTTGTAGATTTTTTAAATTTATTTTAATTCCTAAAGTGTAATGAGTTGATTTCAATATCTTGATTGTAGACTATATTCTCATCATTTCAAAAATTTGAATTATTTCCAAACTTTCAATTCCTTTTTTGTAGATTTTCTATTTATTTTAATTCTTAAAATATAATGAATTTATTTCAAAATCTTGATTGTAGACTATATTCTTGTCATTTCCAAATTTAAATTATTTCTAAACACTCAATTCCTTTTTTGTAGATTTTTTATTTACTTTAATTCCTAAAATGTAATGAGTTGATTTCAAGACATTGATTATAGACTATATTCTTATCATTTCTAAATTTAAATTATTTCATATCCTAACACCTTGATGATACACGCAACTTTTAACATTTGAGAGGAATAAGGAACATTCTGGTCCGCATACATTTTTCATTATGTCTTATCTTAATCTTAATTTTTTATTGTGAATTCTTTTTTCTTTATCTTCAAAATCTACTTTGGTTTCTATATCTATTATTTGCGTTTTCAGATTATGAGATTATCTAGACAAATGCTGGATTTTACATATTATCACCTCTATTTCTATACATTTATAAATTCTTCATCTAGTTTTTATTATAGACTCTTTGGAAAAGGTCCTAAATAGTACTCTCTTTCTCCAGAAATATGCTATCCAAAAATTAAAAAAAAAAACAATTTACAATCTAAAGACCTAGCAAGTACATGAAATAATGGCGAAAAAGGAATGGGTTAGTGGTATAGGAGAATAGGGTTTTAGATTTGAGACCTCCTACTTATACTAAAAAAAAGTATGTGAAATAATAAAAATTAAAAATAAAACTTCATTTTAAACCATTATGATTGAAGCAACTTATACAATTATTAGGTTAAAAATGGCTATAAATTTAGTAAATGAACGACTAATATACAATTTTTTGATTTTGTTATGGGAAGTAACATATGCAATTTCCATTCAAGATAAAAATATAAAAATATAGTCAACCAATGGTCTAAATTTGGTTGCATAAGAAATAGATTGAACCCTTTACCACTTTTATCTAAAAAGATTATTTGTGATAGAGTACAATAAATTAAAAAAAAAAAGAGTTCTTCGCTAAAAGAAAAAATTAATTCTTATTCTTACGTCAAGTGAAATACCAATACAAGATTATATAGTATTTTTTCTTAAGAATTTGTGGCAATCTTCAAGTTTATATATGTAATTAATTTTGATAAAATTAGCGGATAGGAAAGGTGTGAGAAGGGGTGGAAGAGTAAAAAAAAGTTGTGATAAATTTAATTTTTATACATTATAGTGAATTGATGGCACATGTTGTTTTCTTTTCATGAAAATTAAACTGTAAAAGTACTTTTATCAATTTTTTATATACTGTGCATACTTCTATTTGTCATACTCTATGTCTTGATTTAAAAGTTTGCTCACCTCTATTCATCAATGTTCTACTACTTAAGTTGCATATATTTAAAGCATTACATTCTTGGTTTACAAATATGAGGCTAGGTTGAAAATTGTAAAATGATGTACCATTTAACATTTTTAGGCCAAATAAACAAACAAGTTTTTTGAAATTTTAAAAATTATATTAAATAGAGCCTTCATAATTATTTTTTATTCTTAAATATATTCGATATTATGATTGAGAAATGAGTTTAACATTTTGGCAAATACTTTTTGAAATTTTTTTGAATGTTGGACATGATGGTTGAGAAATGAATTGCCAATTAGCAAATATAATTTGGTTATAGATCTATTACAATTTAATATCATATGTTTTATGTGTTATACCACTTTTTTTTAAACGAATGTTTGTACTAGGTAGACGGTAGCTAATTTTTTTTTAGTAAGGAAAGGATGGGATTTATAAAGCTAGAAAGGGGAAGAAGCAGCTAAAAATTGTTTGACATTTCATAGATTAAATTATATTGTATTAAATTTATTTTTTCATAACATTCTTTATGATCATGTGTAGCACGGATTTTTAGACTAGTATGGATAATTTTGGAGGTATTTGGATTCTTAATCTACAAATTGTTCTAACTTTTAAATAATTGGTGAATTATAAACTCAAACACCTCCTAAGTAATGAAAACAATCTAGAGAAATTTAAAAATATTTTAAATATTTTATCAAATCCCTCAATATATTATAGAATTGGAACCTGTCAAATGAATTTTAGGGTACGGATAATATAAGAAACCTCCCTTGAGGTTTTTCCTTATATCACTTCGCACCCCTAAAGTTTTTACGTTCTCTAATAATTGTAAAAATTCTATATTAACCCTCACTTGATATATAATTCACATATCAAATAAATGGAGTTAAAAAATTTTTAAAAATAAAAGTCACTTTCTTCTCTTTTTCTTTTCTTCAACATTCTCTTTTACTCATTTTTTTCGGATGATTATTTGATAAAAATTTGTAAATTATAAGAAATTGAATTTTGTTTATCTTTTACTTTTTATTATCATGATAGAGTAGAGTCTGGTTTATTTGCTTATTTTGGGTTGATTTTTATAATGATTAATACAATTTAAAGGTTTGGACAAGGATTGAGAAGAAGTTGAAAAAAAAAAAACATAAAGTTCATAAGAAATCGGCATTGAGCATGCACAGTTAAATTAGTCAAGTATATCTCTTTGCAAATATCATTTTTATATTTCAAATGTATATTTTTATGGACTCTAACATTATGATGTGGTAGTACTATTAGATATTGTTTTTTGAGATGATAGTTTTCTTGAAATAAACAAAGCGATTGAGGAGTATTTTTATTTAGTAAGTAGAAGGGTAGTTTAGAATTTTTTAAAATTTTGTTACACAAATAACAAAAATAAGGAAAGTAAATGATATTTTTAAAACTTTAGCGATGCTAGGTGATATTAAGAGAAATCCTCAGGGGAGGTTTCTAATAGTATTGTCCCTTGGAGGTATCATATGCATATGCATGATGGAATATACTCGTCATGATATACCTTTTTCTTTTTTCATTAGACTGTTTCTGCAGCACAAAGGAAAGGTACTTAATTCATTTTATAGTGCATCATATCACAATCAATGGTGGAATAGTTTGCCCGAAACCTAATTAAGAATCTTTTGACGAACGATAGCCTCTTGTATGGCTTCAATGGGGGCTCGATGATAGACTCTGATAATTTCAAGAACAGAAGTTGTTGGTACTCAGACCACGATCTTCGTCAAATATAAGGATGGGAATGAAGATCAAGGACCAATAAATTTCAGTGCATGGGACCAGAAAGAAAGATTGAGACGTGGCTCAAATCTGAAGAGTGGAAATGTTGCTTCTCAAATAAAAAAAAAAAAAAAAGGTGCACGGATGTCGACTTCTCAAATATTAATTTCTTGACCGGGCAACGTTGAATATTTTGCATATGTCGGACAAAAAATAAATGGAGTAAAAGATGTGGGGACTCTTATTGCCTGCAGAAATTGTTGTTAATAATGGAGTTATTTATAGTGTTCGGTAGAACAGCTAATTTTCCTTTCCCATAGTAATTACTCCCTCCGTCTCACTTTGATAGTCCCATATTTTTTTTTTTTACACAGTTTAAAAAAAAGTAGTTAACTTTGTTGGAAAAGTAAATCTAGATTGCTATTTTTCTAAAATACCCTTACATTAAATATGGTACAACTTTATGGGAACTTGAATTGATGATAAAAAAAGAACCAACTCTCATTAAATGGGGTAGGTTTATAGTAACAACAACTTACATTGAATAAGGATATTTTAGGAAAATTAAAATACAACTACATTCTTCAATTGAAAAGTGGACTACAATTTGAGACAGACGAAAAAGAAAAACAGGACTATCAAAGTGGGACGGAGGGAGTATTAACTCTATGTGTTCATTGCATCGGACATGTCTGAGGTCTCTTATCTGGCTTTGGGAATATGGACTAGCGGTAGCGTTCTGCTTCACTGACTGAAGTGCTGCAAGGAAGGAGCATCTGCTTCCCGTATGATGACCTTCTTGTACCCTGCTTCTCACGCTGATTCCATGCCAATGCAATGTGCCCAGAGTTCCGCTGCTGTGTTGCTGGCTATCCAATGTTGGCTGAGAATCTTCCAAGCCAATTCTCCATTTCATCTCTCAAAGAGTACCCCCGGCCCCTGCTCTTCTTTCCAATTCATGGCCATTGTATTTGCAACAAAATTAGGTCAAAGCCAAAAAATGGTCCAACTTATAAATAAGAATAGTAAGCAAAACTGGAGATCCACACCAATCATGTAGAAAGTTAACTTCTGGCATGTAGATTACATTTCATATCACTGTTTCAACAAATTTCGAAATTGTATGCGCGAAAGAACCAAAAATTCTTTTTGCTCATATGGCCCTGAAAGTTGAAGGCAAAAAAAAAGTGTCAAAAAAGTACATTCTTGAAAGTTTCAGTTAAATCAATTCATTCTTTCTTTCCCCTTGCTACATCAACAAGATACTGATCCAGATGGTTGCCAAATGTTTTTGTGGAGAATGATTGAGCAATGTGAAGTCGAGCTTCTCTACCCATTCCCTCTGCCATCTCGGGTTTCTGAATGAGTTTTGCCATAGCCAAAGAGAAATCTCGTGGACTGGGGTCACAAAGGAAGCCTGTCACACCATTCTTGATTGTCTCAACAGGACCACCACTGTTGCAAGCAATAACTGGTTTACAGGATGCCATTGCTTCCAGAGGAACAATGCCAAAATGCTCATCCTGCATCATTATGTTATCTCTGGTCAAGAAGTTTTATGCAAATCCAGCCCCTTTTACAAGAGCCTAGATGTTGCCTTACCTTTGGTGTATAAAGAACGCACAAACACTCAGACAAAAGTGCATTTCTTTCTGATGTGGAGCAAGACGTGATGAAGTTGACTCGATCAGAGATACCTTCCCTTTGAGCTAAGTCTTTAAGTTCCTCCAAATAATCAACATTCTCTCTAAGGCGTTTATCATATCCACCTGCAGAAAGACGTTGCATAGAATCCATATGAATGGGTTGTGCACGCAGAAAATTCAGTATTTTGTCACTTTTATAAATCTTAGACATGCTTGCGCACAATATTTCACAGGGTTGATGCCAGCAGCTTGCCATGGTCTTTCATAGTGAAACCTTTACAGACCTCCCATTAATTTGCATCTTGGACATTAAATTGTATTATTTCTTATAGAAAACTTTAAAGTTTGTCCTTTGAATGCACACCATGTACCATAATTGCCTATCGAAATAACAATCAATTTAATAACAAGCTCTCAAAATATACCACAGCTTTTTAGGGAACCTGCCACGCAAATTTTTCTAGCTTCCTTGTGTGTGAGGGTGGATCACAGGGAAATAAAATTGTCTACTTCAGCAAATAGACAGTGAGATCTAATAGGTTAATCTGCCAATAATCATGACACAATATGCTTCCACAAAAGTCGAAGCATGATAAATTTGCTAGCTGTCAAGAGTCAATAATTGGTTTTGCATGACCCATACATAAAAAGGAGCTACTATGATGCAAAACAATTCCTGACTGCCTCTCATTTACCATCCCTTTGTTTTACACTTTTAAATGTTAAGGGATATTGACCTTCATCTTTTGCCTTTAGAATCTTCTGGAGGGCTTGATTTCATTACAAATAATGCCACCAACTACATATTCTTGGCCAAAGGTTTATATATTAGCTTGGCTGAGACAGAGAGGTCATAATAGCTTATCTTCTATAACATCAACCAAACATATGACATCAATACAAAATAAAATGCAAGTATATGACCAAAATCAATGCCGTATTGCAATTATTGGTTCATCATTGCCACAAACGCAAAATTGCTTCATGAACCCAGGTATAAAACATTACCTATCTGAATAGCCGAAAAAGCTACAAAAAGCACCACATTTAAGTTTAGACCAATAAAGAAGAAAAGATGACTTGCCTGCAATAGTCAATGAAGCACCATCCAGAATGGCTCCTTGTAGTTCATCACATGCAAGGTTCTGAAGCATAGCAAAGGCAGATATTGCTAATTCTATGTTCTTCTTCCTTTCAAACCGATTGATCGAGAGAAAATTCAACCTAGAGAAACAAAAACCTTAGGTTCCCAAATCCCAGAGATATTTTAATAAGGAAAGCAGAAATGCAAATACAACTATGAGAGAGTAAACGTAGAAATTATAATATGGCATTCATGTTGTAGAACCTAGGAATAAAAGATACCAAGAGAGGAAGCATTGTTGTTACTTAATAGCATTAGGCTCCTTAAACTGATCCAAATTGACTGCAGGGTAAAGTACAGCTGGTCTAATTCCGAATGCATTAAGCCCCTTGAATGTCCTTGCAAATGTAGATGCAGTAAATTTGCTGTTAACAAGAATTAGGTCTGCGATACCTACAGTTCCACAAGGTATTCAGTGGAGACTCAATATACTTCCACATTGGGGTAAAGAAAACGAAGCACAGACTATCAATGCAAAAGAGGTGACATAAATATAAATGGTATGGATAGAGAGAGCAAGAGAGACAGGGAGGAGGGATTACCAGTTGTTTTTTCTTCTAGAAGGTCAATAGGTATCCGATATATCCTCCTAAGAAGAGTAGTGTGTTGGGCTAGCAAGAGATCAGGAAAATGGCAGTAAAATACAACCTAGAAGGGAAAAAACGAAGGGGAAATATAAAAAAAAAAAAAAAACCAACTAACTTTATTTCCTTCTGAGATATCCCAAAATAATATCAGTGAAAACAAAATTTTACCTTTGTTGATTTCTTCAACTTCAACAGTGGAATGACAACAGATACCTGATCTACAAGTATAACATCGAACGATCGCCAGAACAGCATCATACAAACAGCAACAAAAATGCAACGGATATATGCACATACTGCATGAAGACGATAGAAAATATGCCGGGGGAGAAAAGAACCATATACAGTAACTGAGAAGATCCCTGGAAAGTAATTACTGCACTCTTAGCCTTTATATTTATCAAAAATATTCATAAAGTCTATGCCCAGGACCAAGGAAATATCAGCAATACAAATATTAGAACAATTCCCCATTTTACCAGACAAAGTCTCCTCAAAACAGCGTGTTTTATCATGATGTGACGTAAAAACATGAACTTTATGCCCATGAGATGCAAGCTCCACAGCTGCATCAACAATTAATCTTTCAGCTCCTCCTAAAAACCAAGAAAATGGTTATTATAAAAAGTTCAAGGGAAAAAATATATTAAGGAAGACAGAATTAGAAGGCAAAATTGCAGTCCAGCACCATAAACACGTACAAAAACCAGACTAGAAATTTTATGTATCTTTTCAAGTCTTTGAAGATGTAAATGAATCCATATGAGCACATTCCAGGAGCACTATCTCTGCCTAATTATGACCCACTGGAGAAAGTTTCACCATGGATTAAGTGCAAAACATTCAAAATAAGAAGTACATCAACCCTTTGTTTGTGAACCCATTCTATACAGATGCTACAGATTTATTCTCTCACTAAAACCCCCAGTATTTCTCTAAAGTATATCTCACATAAAGTGTCAACTGTTCAAATTAAATGAAATAGTGGACTTTTTTCTTGGTTTATCAACAGATGCATCCATTCAGACTTACATGTCATCCAATTTCAGGAGCTAAGACATTCATGAATTCTTACCTAGATGCCACTGCTAAACAAAGAAAATTACCATCCTAGGTCTGCAGACAAGCTAGAGATGGAAAAAAAAAATCATAATACAACATGTTAAAACCAATGATAAAGGCAAAAAAAGAGGTCATTGTACTATTGCCGATTTTGACAACCAATAAGCGCTAAACAAACCACTTGATCATAAGTTGGATGAGAATTACATACATAAGCAGAAAGTCATTTCAATATAGTTACCAATTCCAAGATCAGGGTGGATGATAGCCACATTCAACTTTGAGCTCCCTGATTTCTCCATCTCTATTTATCCAGACTACACAAATGAAACCAAAGAACGGGTCATAAAAAAATGGATGCATTCATCAGGACAAGCAATACAATCCAAGCTAAGCCCTATCTCGCAGCATTTTGGTGTCCTTAAAATTCCATTTCTTGCTGCTATCAAAAGAATACCCTTCCCATTCCCAAAAGAGCATGTCATAAAGTAACTTCTTTAGAAGATTAAATAAATCGGATATAGCATCGCTAATTTCCTCATCTCACCAAAGCAAGACATCACAGCCATAAATACAATTATGGATGGTATTAGAAGGGGTTAAGATGCTTTCTACGCATGTTCATGACACCTAAAGATTGAATTTTGTCCAGTCTGTTTCGTTCCTAGACAATCTAACAGCAGCTGTGAAATGAAATGTGGATGGAAAACTAGTCAATTCTAAGCTTTTCGACACTCAAAAATACCGCACATTATACGTGAATATTCTCCCAAATGACCGAATGAAAGTAAGTTCACAAAAAGGGCTCAGAAGAATTAAGATTCTTTTAATGGGTTAGGTCTCTGAAGCCTATAACAGCAAACAAACAATCCCCCGCACTTTTAATTCGGGAAAGATTGAGAACATGTATATACATCGAGCTTTCAGACCACCATAAAGCAACAAAAATGAAAAAAGAAAAGCAGAACAATAAGCATCAAGGATAGCTAAAAATCTACCAAATTGGAAAGAAAAATAACAAGAAAAATTTACACACTTAAGCATCATAAGATGATAAAAATCCGACCTGACAATCAGACAGAAGTCCGGACAAGGAAAAGTCAAACCACAAGAAAAAAGTTAGTGCGAAATGCAAGTACCTGAATTGAATCTGTTTTGCGGGTTCAAACTGCTATTTGGAGTCAGTCACCACACACATGTATATGCATACATGCTGGCAAGACGAGAAGACGACGAAGAACAAGGCAACAGAGCAAGAGGAGGAAGAGAGAGATGGCACCCACCTAATTTTGGAGTGAAAATTTGTTTTCCTTTTTCTTCCTTTTTTTTTCTTCTTTTCTTTTTCTGTTTTTGGGAGAAAAGGCTCACTTAGAAAATTGGAGGAATCTGGAGGCGTGATCTAGAACCATGATAGCTGAGCAACAAGCCTGAACGTGGAACAGAGGCGTGGTCTTCTGACCATCCATGAGAGGGGTGAGATAGTCATTTTGATCTAACTTCAACAGGCTTGGGCTAAGGGATTGAAGAGCCTTACAAGCCCATTTTTAATGCCTCATAGGCTTGGGCTAAATCTTTCTAATTAGGACCACTGGACAGGAAAAGATTGAAACTCCTTAGTGGCCCATTTTGGATACACCGGTCACTGGTGTAGTCATCACTCATGCCTAGACTGTGAGGAGTGAGAACTGAGAACCTGATGGTAGATAGAATCATAGAAGTATTGAAAGAAACGAAGAATTACAGAAGAAGAAGATGACTATACCAGTACCAGTGGGAGAAGAAGTGGGGCCCAAGCTGGTTCGATTTCTTTACTTCATTGGCGCTGGATGTAAGTACATGCACTTCCCTGTGCTTCTATAAAATATTTTGATTTTGTGTATTTCGTTTTTTTTTTCTGTTTTTTTTTACTAAATTCAAGAAAGAAATTTTTTTGTTTTGGTTCAGTTGTATGCACTGCAGCTATTAACAAGTGGAGGGATTTGGAAAGGAAGGCTAATATTCAGAAACAGCAAAAAGAGCTGTTGGAAAATCCATCACCAAATTCACATGGAGTACAAAGTGCTGTGGAGTAGACTTAGGAATCAAATAATACATGCTCTTCAAGGTTCTTGAGGACCCTTTTATCATAACAATTGGATCTTTGTCATATGTATTGAATTGGAGAAATCTAGGTGATTTTGCTTTATGAATTGGATGATATAATTTTTTGGTGATCGAGTATTATTAGACTATCCCGTAATATAAGGGTGTGATTCTATGGGGATAATTTGTCGAATTATATTCTTGCAGTAGTCACAGAGGTCATCACATAAATAATATGGACACTGAACATCTTTAGTTTCCTTTCCTGTGAGTTGTATTCTTCAATCTAAGATGGTGCTCTGATGATTCAGTCGAAAGAAATGCCCTTGAATTATAACTCAGGAATATAATTAATCAATAGAATGTCGTGTTGCTGCGTCAGGTCTCCACTCGTTGTGGTATAGTTCTATTTCTTTTCATCGTATTTTCCTTTGCTTCCCTGTTAGTCTGTTGCCTTGCAGTTTTGGAGCTTTGCTCACTTCTGTTGGTTTGTGTAATCCCGTTTAGAAGGAGCATTCTTATCTGTAGGACCAATGAACATTTGACGGACTGTCATTTAAGGTTCTTATCGTAACTAGAAGGATTAGTGGCTACCAGAGGCTAGGGAATCATGATAGCTTCAAATAAAAAGTTGGACAATGAGAGTGCGAATGTAAAGCTATACTGCATCAGGACAGATATAGAATGGGCCAAGAATTTGATCTTTTGACTACTCATTTACGTACTAAATTAAAGGACGTTTAATGTTAAGAATTGAATTGAAGTTTAAGACTGATTGACAATAATGATGGACAAGAAAACTTTCAGACTAGTATAAAATCCTTTTTATTCTCTGTGCAGCAGGAGTGTAGCTTTTTTCTTCATCATTCTTTTAAAGTGTCATACTGTAATTCCTCTGGTTTTACCCTGCAAAGGTGCCGTCTTTGATCAGGGGCTAGAATTATCTTAAGTAGCCACTGTTTGTCCTTCCACTTGTGTCTTGTTGAAAAACTTATTTCCATGATTACCATGAGTGTTGATCACATATTGTAAGGCAGCTGTGCTCACCCTTTTTTTTTTTTTAATCCACACGATTATCTGTTGTATATGCATTTATGTTTAGATGTGGATGGTCAATGTTACTCGTCATCGATTCTCTGCATTTCCCTTTGTTGAAACAACCTTGTAATAAAACTGTTGTCATGGGATGGGAGAATAGTAGACTAGCACAGAGCTTACCTGGTTAACCTATTTGACAGAATCACCTCCTTAAGAAGGTTAAGGAAATAGTTGTAACGTAGATTGTCATGTCAAAATAAGATTGGATCATTTTACTGAATATAGCTATTCATAGAGTAGGGCACGGCTTTACGTGTAAGAGCAATGGTAGTTGGATTTAAATGGGGTTTCTTTGGACTTGCTAATTCTTAATAGGATTCCCTTTTTCTTGGTCTTCGATTATGTACTGATTTTCCTGTGAGTATGGATTCATTTACTGCATTAATGGATAACATGACATGATACTAGAATCTACAAGTATTTTGGGTGTTTAAGTAAACCCAACTCTTTTTTAGGACTCTGGTTAGGCAATTGGAATGGGTTAGGATGCTTATTGCTGCTGAAGGACTTCGAAGTGCATCAAATTGATGTTCTTTTGGCTGAGCTAGGATTTTGCATAGCTGGAATGATCTCTTAAGCTCCTTTTATATTGATGACAATGGGAAGACAGACATATAACTTTTGTAGGATTTGCTAAAGTTGAGCTGGAATAGCTAGCAAGCGTCAAATATTACAGCAAATCTCAAACCAAACAAGCTTGACTTCATAAAAAGATGTTCAAGATTGCAGAAAAGATAAATTTTTAAAGCAATGCTGAATGACATTTAGCATTCTATCTACAGTACTCTAAAAGAGGGTAGGCCATCTATCGACTGTGTAACAATAAGTACTGTCTTTGAGCAAGATTTTTCTTTGAAGAACCTTGGTACTTCATCAGACTCCTAATAGAAAGTTAAAGTATGAGTTCGAATTGTAGCAACTTGTTCCAACAAAGACAGTAGTGCCTAAATTGCACTAAAATTCTCGTGGAGTCCATCAACAAATCCCAGCTTCCAAGTGTTGTGCTTTTGTCCTTGGCCTTTCGAAGGTCATGCGAGACAATGTAAAATACTTATGACGTCTAGTGATGCATATATTGTGAATGGACTTATTATTCTTCTTTGTTTTGCTCCCCAAGTTGGAAAAGCGACCGCCTTGTTCACATGAAGTTTGCAGGTTTGTGCTATTTTGTTGCTTGGACTTGTTTGTGGATCAAAAAATAGTGCAGCAGAAGATTAGGCCTTGCTTCAAGCATCTTAGCCGAACTTTGGGGAATCCGGGATGGCCTTGAAGTTGCCTTTTCTGTCAATCCAACATGCTTAGAAGTGGAAGTTGATTGCTCTGATCTTATCTATCTCATAAAAAAAAAATAAAAGTGATCCTAGTATTGCTGATAGCAGGTTCCTCTTTTCATAGTTCCAGGAACTCAAAACTTCCCTACATCTTTCAGAAGGCAAATACAAGTGCTGATAGACTAGCCAGAATGCGAGGCAATCTAGACTCTTAAAGTTCTGTGGTTTTTGATGTTTGTCCTCGTGATTTAGTTTCTGATATTCAGGAAGATTTGAGGGAATTTATGTTTTAGGATCCCTGTTTTTACCAAAAATGGAAAATGTCAACGTAGGTGTAGGATTAAGCGAGGGAATTTCACTTGAGAGGCTGGAGTTTCGTCATAGTTGGTGGACTGAGCGGCCAGTGAGCACAAAATCGGGCCACTAGATGCAAGAGAATTAATTAGTCTGAGCCAACTTTATTGACCTTTTGACTTCAACTTCCCATATTCATTTCATGTGCCACTAGAGCCCATCGTTTCACTTCCATTTGCCCTAAATATTCACTGCAACTCCAGAAGAGCCCGTTCGGCTTGAATTTTTTGGGAGTTTTTTTTTTGGAGAAAAATTATTTTAGCACTTTTTTGGACGTGCGTATATGAAGTAAAAAAAAAATGATTAAAAATCTCAAGCATTACATGATGAAAGCTTGGCAGGTTGTGAAGCTAGCTGTATGCTGTAGCTGCCATGAAGACTGCAGAACCAACCACTCATATTCTTCCAGGTAACCCCCATGCACGCTCCTCCCCTTCAGCAATGATCAACCGACCACCGTTTCCACCCCCCATTACTCCACAATAAAACCTCCCCTGTATCTTTTTCCTCCGGGCACCTTATTTCCATAGCTAATACTACAGAAAAGAAAATAACAAAACCCCGAATCAAATGAGCTTCCAACGGTTTTATGAGACCTGGTTCGAGCAGCTCCACCAGCTTATGAACCAACTCAACCGAGCACCGCGTCAGCCAACGGCGGAGGAAGAGAACCACGAGCTGGTTCAGAAGGTTATGTCCCACTACTCCGAGTATTACCGAGTTAAATCAATCGTTGCCAAGCAAGATATCCTGTCAGTCTTCGCTGCACCGTGGGCCACAACCCTTGAGCGATCCCTCCATTGGATTGCCGGCTGGCGGCCCACCACCGCCTTCCACCTTATTTATACTGAGGCCAGCATCCGTTTCGAGTCACAAATCTTTGATATCCTACGTGGGCTTCGTAATGGGGATCTCGGCGACCTCTCCCCAGCCCAGTTCCGCCGTGTAAGTGAGCTTCAATGCGAAACTGTCCGGGAAGAAAATGCTATCACTGATGAACTCTCTGAATGGCAGGCATGCAACTGATGAGTTTTCTTTCTTTCTTTCCTTCTTTTTTAATGGTTCGATTTCTTTTCTTTCCTGCCCAAAAAAAAAAATTCTTTTCTTTCCCCACTTTCATGTACTTTCTTTCGGGTGAAGTAGTTGCAATTTTTTAAGATTTTACTCAAAACTATCTCTAATTTCAATTTTTTCAGCATTGGCTTGTAACATTTCCCATGAGAAGAATTTTGATGATTCATGCATCAGCTGAGCAACCTTGAGTAAATAAAGTAATCCCCTTTAATCATGTATGCTACAAATAAATGCATCCCACATATAGCTTCGATATTTCACTGTAAATTTCAATGCTCGAGAATACTGAACGGGCATCAGTTTGTTAATCATGATATATCAAATAAATTCTCCCCCAAATGATTTTACAGTTGAAGGCAGCTTATCTTGTATTCAGCTTTATTTTGTTGTTTAGATGCTTATTCCTTACATTTTCTGCATTGGAAGAATTAAATTCCTTATCTTGAAGGCAACTTATATTGGTTAGTTTTCTATTTTGAAAGCATCATCCTTTAAAATTGCCTGTTTCATCTCCCTACTTTCTGTCCCAAAAAAAAAAAAAATCCTTACCTTCTTCATAGGTGGAATTAGTTTTATTTTCCTTTCCCTTAAACTTCTAGAAAAGGACTTTATAGACGTATTAATGGATAGATGTGTGGACTGGTGTTAGGATGGGGCAAGTGATTTCGTGGGAATGCGTAGCCATGGTGATGGTGGAAAGATGGAAGTGCTGGTGAGAGTGGTGGAAAAGGCTGATCAGCTGCGGCTGAAGACTATTGAGAAATTGGTTGAGCTGTTCACCCCACGACAAGCTGCAGAGTTCTTGATTGCGGCCGCCCACCTCCAGTTTGGTGTCCGAGCATTGGGTGCCACTTATGATCGTCGACTCTAATGTTATTGTTGCAGAAGTATTGCATCAATAAAATTAGTCCTATCTATCAATAAATTTGAAGCATCTATCTATCTCTTGACAATATTTGAGTTCAAAAAATCCATCTCTTGACAATATTGAAGGAAATCAAAACCAAACTTTATTTAGTAATTGCCAAACCGCAGTATGGTTTTTTGTTTGTGTCCGAGTCTGTGAGTGTTTATATTGGTTTTGATAGTTACCTTTTAGTTAGTTTAGATTGGAAGTCCTAGTTTAACCAGCAGTTATTATTTGTTTCCTTTCTTTGTGTCTAATTAAATTGGCAATTGAAATCTTGACTGTACCAGAATTTAGGATCTGTTTGGCAGGGGAGTTTTTTGTCAAGTTTGTCTCCTATAAGTTTTTTAACAACTTTTTAGTTATAATAATCTCAAAAAACTCTCCAAATTTTTTAAACTACACACTTCAAAATAACCAAAATACATTAAAAAAAAATTTCCCTTCGGTCTTTTTTCTTCCACCTCAACCCATCACCGCGAACCGGCGCCGACAATCTCTTCTGGGGCCAATCACCTCTCTTTTTTCTTTTTTTTTTTTCCTCTTTCTCTTCTCCCTCTTCCTCTCCTCCCCTCTCCAAAGGGAGAAGATGGGGATAAAGGCTGTGGGGGAGAGAAAAAGCAAAAAAAAAAAAAATATTTTGTTTCTGCTGCTTGTTCTGGCGTTCGAGGAAGAGGTGGCAGGGAAGGGAGAGAGGGAGAGCGAAGGGAGAAGAAGAAAAGAGGAAAGAAAAAAAAAAGAAAAAGAAAAGACAAAAAAAGTTTTCTATCTTAAAAAAATTTTTTACAACTTATACAGTAAGTTATAATAAAATTTTAAATAAACATCTAAAAAACTTATTTGTCAAACAGGGCCTTAGTTTCCTTTAAGTCCAATAGTTGAAGTCCGAATTCGAGATTTTTGAAGAGTTTAGTTGAATCTTAAAAAGTGAATTGAAGAAAGCCTTGAGAACTTGTTGAGTTGAGTTATGAGATAGGGGAAAACCTCTCAGAAATGTTATTTGTGAGTTCTTGTAAGCGAACTGTTACGATTTGATATTGTTATTATTGAGTATTAGAGTTAATAAAATTATTATTGAGTATTTGTTTGTGTGTTTTTTCTCTTCTTCTTTTCTCATATTTTTTATATATGTTAAAATGACTTCCATTGTTCATGATTTTTTGTGCTAATAAGCAGTATTAGAACTTTGAGTTTTAATTATGGGGCTTATTTGCAAAATTAATGCACAAAAATAGAAGATTTATTGTTGAAAATTAGGACACAAAATTGGTCCTAATTGAGTCAAGTTTAAAATTTTGAAATATGGATCTGTATTATTTACAATATTATGCTATTTTTACCTTTGATGACAACAATGAATTTGAAATTTAGAGTATGACAATGAAGGTGTTTTTTCCAAACTATAAGAATTTGGGATATTGTTCAAAAAGGGTTCATGAAACTTGCAAAAAGCATAGAATTATCCAACAATACAATTAAATAGTTGGAGAAAATTGACAATTAGACCACAAGACACTTCATTATCTCACTACCAAAGTCTAGTTGCATGTATTCAAAAAAATTCATGCATATAAAAATGGCAAGGGAGATTTGAAAATTTTTGATGAATTCTAATTGAAGTGCACTTGAAGATAAAGAAACCGTGTTCCAAAAAAAAAATTGCAAGTGGTTGAAAAAGAAAGTGAAATTATTAGTGAAATTAATGATATGATTGAAGATCGTGATGAAGTAGAAATTCTTGATTTTGTGGGAGTTGACGGAATTATTTGAAAAAGAAAATCAACTAATTGAGTTTGTAGAAAACAATTATAGAATGAACGATTTAGTTGACGATTGTGGCAGTGCTAAGATTGATATGGCTGTCAATGTGAACCAAACAAAACAAAATTATGGGGGTGTTGAAAAATTTAGTGATGGTAACTATGATTTTGTGATTTTGGAAGATTTTATTAGCGATAAGGATGAATTAAGTTTTGAAACATTCAATCAGACATGGGCGAACATGTTTGAATTTTTTGATAAAGGTGATCAAATCAAGAAATTATTCAAGAAGTACAAGTTTCTCCATTGCCACGTGTAAAAATGAAATTGAAAACCAAATATAATTTGGCATTTCACGTTGTTTCTATAACCACATGATGAGTTTGGTTTAAGAGAGATAATAAAATTATGACTTGATATTATTATTATTATTAAGTTTTAAGTTAATAAAATTATTATTGAATATTTGTTTGTCTAAGTCCATTCTTTTTGATATTTTAGTTAGCTTTGTGAGAGCTCCAATTCAACACTTTTCTTTGAAATTGCGGTCTTAGGATTTTTTCTCTCTTTTTTCTATAGTAGGGGTGACGTGTCACGTAGAGGTTTCGTGCATGCATGCATGGCAACACCTGTGTGCTGATGAAGTGATGAGTGCTCATCATTCGCCATTTGCCAACAGAAAATTCTGCAGATGACACGAACCACCGACTCAGGGGTCAGCTTAATTACTCAACTTGCCAGTTCCCACATGACAGGATTAACTTGTCTCGCTCGAATTTTTTGTGGTTGAGATAGATGGCTCTGGTAATCAGGTTCTGCTGCTTCATCTCATATATAAAAGAAAGCACCAGAAATATCAGGGTAGGATGTCTGGCATTTTCAACCTTTTTCTTTCCTTCGAACAAAATAGCCCAGTCTTGAATTGAATATTGTGAATTCTGGCAGCGTATAGGAGATTAGAAAGGTTAAAGGTTCCAACGCATATCTGGCTTCCACTTATGGTTTGTGAAAAGACCATCTTGATTCTTGATACGGTTAGAAATGGCAGATGCTTTTTCTAACACGTAGAAATCTATTGCTAGATACATGATGCATCAATTAGCAGATTAACACTACAATCTTCTCCCTAGAAGATTATTGTGTCAACTGTATATAAGGAATCTCGAGAAAGACATTGTTGTGTGGCGTATCAATTTGCCCATACTTGTGCACACAGCCGCTTGGTCCTTCCCAAGACGACGCAGCAGTATTTTACTTCACATAGTTATCAGATGCAAAGTCCAAACGCGCATAGCCGCTATTTTTTTTTTTCTTGGAAGAGTAAGCGGGAGGTCTCGAATTCTCCGGACTTCTCATTTATCCTTCCTTCCTTCCGTCCGTCGTATCATCAAATCTATTTCTTCTCCGGGCATACACTTGAAACCCCATAAAAGCAAACCCGCATGGCGTTCTTATATATTCCCTGAAGCAGTGCCTAAACCTTTTTGAGATATGTTTGAGCTTTAATCGTGCGTTTCTGAGATTTCTCTTAATATCACTTGGCATTTCTAAGATTTTCAAAATATCACTTATCTCCCTTACTTTTGTTATTTGTGTAACAAAATTTTTAAAAATCCTAAACTACTCTTTCACTTGTTAAATAAAAATATTTTTAAACTACTTTGTTCGCTTTAAGAAAACTATCACCTCAAAAACAATTTCTTGTAGTACTACCACATCACAATGTTATACCCCATCAAAATATAAATTTAAAAAATAAAAAGGTATTTTGGTTTGTGTAATAGTTACTAGGGGAGGTAAATGATATTTCTAAAACCTTAAGAGTACTGAGTGATATTAAGAGAAATCTCAAGAAAGGTTTCTGATATTATCCCAAAAAAAAAAAAAGAGAGAAAGATGTTAAGTGATGCAAGAAAAGAAAAGAAGGAAAATATTTTAAAGCTATTTGAGAGTTAGTTAGGTAAGAAATGGTATGATTTGAAATATATATATATATATACACACGTCAATAAAAATTTGTTTGATACACATTTGAAGATAAAATGGACATTTTGAAATTTTTTGTTAGGCTCTCTCAACTGTCCTTCATTTTCTGACCACATTTGGGCAGAAAATTTTATCAACTAAAGCAGCAAGAGATCATCCATCCAAATCATTTGGTTTCCTTTATTTTCTATCTCTCAAAGAGTCCCAAACATCAGAAAGAAGGTCTTTTGTTTCACTTTTCTTTCTTTTCTTATCAAATCCGAATTCCCAAACTAGCTATTAGTGTTCTGCTAATGCTATTACTGATTGGATTTGAGTGACACAAATTTGAAGGGTTAGAGTACAATTAAAATTTAAGATGCAGGGCGAGAATGGTGTATAAATTCAAAAGTGCAATATAAGGTTTCTCCATCTATAAATGTGCAGACTTGTAAATATATGAAGACATAAGTAGCAATAATGGAAATAAATGTGTACGCATGAGCGCAAACATACAGGTCAATGAAACAGGCAAGTGTACATAGATGTCCCTAGAAAATAATGCTAACGTATGTAGATGTATTCTCTTTAGCTGTGCTGCGATTGCAAGATTTTTGACTTGATAATTGCATCAATTTCGCCCTTGGACAACTATATATTTACTAAAGCAGTAAATCTAACCAGATATTAATTGATTGGCAATGCTTATGGCACTAGTTCATCATAACATTGAAAGAATTTTAACCCCTCAAACGGTATATACACATCTCTGCACATTCTTGCTTAAAGAAAATTAAGAGTACTTCAAATATTCAACCATTCATTCATGATCATATGACAATGAAAACCATATGACCTAGATCGTTTTGCGAATGTGAAAATTGTTTTTTATCTGCCGATGCAATTAACAATTCACACCAGAAATAGGGAACAGAAGCATGGTCAGAAAGGAGAATATCTATGTTTTCAAATTTGGACCGGGTATCGACTCGATCGAGTTCAGGGGTCAATGGATTTGATCGGGTTCGATTGGAAGTTGAACCGGATGATGTCATAAATAAAAATTATTTAAAAATTAAAATATTATATGTAAAATACTTAAGAGCATGTTAATATTAACAAAGGTATATTCATATGTATTTGATGTTTCAAATATATTTAACAAGAAAAATACAAAGAAATTAGAACAATCAAGTAGCAATTTATATTATTTAATGAACATTAACAAGTTTAGAATTAAAAGTATGGACTTAATTGAAAAATAGCACCAAAATTTAAGACAAATTTATAAAGTGTGAAATATTTGAGGTATATTAATAATTTTTAACAATCTAGGGGTCAAAAAATAATATTAAAAATGCTTTGACCTTTACAAAAAAAAGGAA